GGTTCTTGACTCAACCGCGGCGCTTATCTCAGTGCCCGCCCGAGCTGGACCCCGGATAGAAAGAGGGCTGGTCCGGGGTTGGGGGCAAGGGCAACCCTAGAGGGAGGGGCAAAGAGGAAGAGACGGACGAACCCCACGTCTTTGCACCCCTCTGCCTCTCAGCCCCTCCTAGTCTAGCCTAGGGGAAGGGGAGGGTGGGCCTGAGGCCCCTGGGCGCTTTCCCCACGCCTAGCAAGCAGGTCGCCGGACTAGATTAATGAAGTTGGGGATCCAACTGCCTTTCAAGCCTGGGATCCCCTCGCAGGAATCCCGCGATCTGGCCTGGTGGTCCAGGGCCAGAGTACCTGCCAAGGAGCCCCACCTGCTTCTGCCTCCCTCAGCGCTGGGCCTAAATTCAGCAAGGCCACGGCCTCACTTCCAAACAACGTTTGGGGGCTCTGGTGGGTGTACTGCAAGTGCAGTGACCAAACTACTGTACAGGAACAGAATTGTCCAGTTTGAGTTTCCTAGATTACATCTCTATGGTGTCGAAAGGCTCTTCTTGTCTTTCTCCTGCGGAGTGACTGGTGGGTTTGAACTGCTGACCTTGTGGTTAACAGTCCCCAAGGGTTGCTACACCACCAGCGGGGCTCCAAGCAGCTAGTGATCAAACAGCCTTTTATCCCTCTGAGAAGCTTTTTGTCCTCACCCTTCAAACTTCGAATCGCAAAGAACAGACCGAGGGAGGGCCGAGGAAAAGGACTTCCTTCTCTTGCCTCATCTTGCCTTTGAGCCCCAGCACTGGAACCAGTCCCCCAGGCCTTGAGGTACTTCCCCCTCCACGGCTGGCTGGGTGTTGAACTGTGTGTGGTGTTGGGGGTGGGAGGGTCTCTGGCCTGCTGTGTTTTCCTGTTTGTATGAGAGGAAGTTGGCTGTGAGTCAGCAGAGGCAGGAACTGTCAGTAGCTAGGGGAAGACCCCTGCTTGGGGAAGGAGAAGGGAGCCCAGAAGTGGTTCCACCTCTCAGTTGCCCCAGGTGGGGGGTGGGAAGGGACTGTCATCTTCAGCCTCCTGAACCCCTTCCCTAGGGTCTTCCTTTTGAGAAAAAGAGCGATGATAATATTTAATTATTAAAATAGCCATAATAACAGCTACCAATTATTGAGCACTGACCGTATTTCAGGCCCTATACAAACATTCTTTGCAAACTTCAATTAATCTTCCTGACAACTCTGTAAAATAGAGAATTTTATCACCTCTATTTTACAGATAAGGAGACACAGAGCATTAAATAACTAGCTCAAGGCCGTGCAGCTAGAAAACAAAGCAGCCAACTTTTCAAGCCCACACATTCTGAGCTGCCAAGCTTTCAGACAGTCCCAGTCAGAACCCTGGCACATAGTGCCTAGGGTTAGTGTTCTACCTTCTCCTGGATGGGCAACCATGGTGGTCTTGAGAATCTCCTCACAAAAAGGAGTGCAATGGATCAAGGGGGCGGGGGTGGGGGTGGGGGGGGCCGGGGGGCCGGGGACCAGAAGCTCCTCTTAGAAACAACCCATCAGCTCCCACACCAAGGCTCCTGCTCTAAGGCCCCTGGGCACCCAGCCAATGACCCAGGCAGAGATCCTAAGACAGGCGCTTTCCTGGGAGATAGGGAATCCTCAGACTTCTGTCTTGGCTCAGGAATTCCCTCCAAGGCCATGCTGAACTTCAGTTCAACCGTGGAGCAGTCTAGGATGCTTCTTCCCAGCTTGCTTCCCTCAGGGTCAGACTTGCACTTCCTTCTGAAGGCTCCCTCCCATTGTCACTCCCAGGCATACCAGATGCCATGAAGTCTATTTAGACTTGGGCTACTCCACGCGTGTCAGAGTGGAACTGTGCTGCGTAGAATTTTCCATGGTTGCTTTTTGGAAATAGATTGCCAATGCCTCTGGGTGGACTTGAGCTTGCAACCCTTTAGTTAAAGCAACCGTGTGCTCAAACATTTGCATCACCCTGAGACTCACTTGGAGACAGAACCTAACCAAAGCTCACTCCCAGTGACTTGATTCTGACTCACAGGGCCTCTATAGGACAGAGTAGGATTGCTTCCTTAGGTTGTTGAGACAGTACATCATTCTGGGAGCAAACAGCCTCCTCTTTCCCCCACAGATCAACTAGAGCAGTGGTTCTCAACCTTCTTCATGCCCTGACCCTTTCATACAGTTCCTCGTGTTGTGGTGACCCCCGCGCCCAACCATAAAATTATTTTCGTCGCTACTTCATCACTGTCATTTTGCTACTGTTATGAATCAGGCGACCCCTGTGAAAGGGGCGTTTGAACCCCAAAGGGGTTGGTCGAGACCCACAGGTTGAGAAGCGCTGAACTAGAGGGTTTGAACTTCAGACCTTGTCATTAGCAGGGCAATGCCTAACACACAGCAACACACCTCACTGCCTTTGAGCTGATTCCCATTCACAGTGTGCCTACAGTGCAGGGTAGAACTCCCCCTGTGGGCTTCCTAGACTGTGGCTCTTGAAGGGAGTAGAAAGCCTTGTCTTTGTCTAGGTGGTAGTTTTGAACTGCTAACCTTGTGGTTAGCAGCCTCAGGCTTAGCTGCTGTGTACCAGAGCACCTTTAATAGGCATATCCCCTAGTAAAATCTGTGCACATTTAATCTTGCCTTGGTGTTTGCGCTTGAAGGACAATAACATAGGGGATTTGGACCCCATCTCAGCACAATGCTTTAAAATGCATGAAAGAAAATACATAGGACTACAAAAGAAACCAATTATAGTACAATATAGTTATAAAAATATTTTATGTGCAAAATAGTAAGTCATATATATGCTTCTTGATTAATCTTTATATAACAAAACCTAGAGGTAAGTCAATATTTCACATAATTTTGAAATAGTGATGAGCATAAATTGCATTTCAAAATAGCTGCAATATTGCAATATGATATGAAAATAAATTTCTCTGGATGACAAAGCCACTGTGATGGCTCATATGGCTGGTTTGCTGCTAGAGTTTGTTGAAGAAAGTGCTAAATGTGAGGTAGCGGGTAGTGAAAATCATGTCATCCCCCCACCCCACTCTGTACTTTATATTAGTTTCCTAGGCTGTGTTAACAAAACACCACAGCGTGGTGGCTTAAGACAATGGAAATGTACTCTCCCGCAGTGCAGGATGCTTTGTGGCTGTGGTTGTTAGGTGCTGCTGAGTGTGTTCTGATTCCTAGCTCCCTTAGGTACAATAGAAAGAAACACTGCTTGGTCCAGTCCCTCGCACAGCCACGCCTGTGCTTGGCCCATTGAGGGAGCCACTGTAGCAGTTCATCTCGTGGAGGGTCTTCCTCTGTTTGGCTGACCCATCACTTTACCAAAATGATGTCTTTTTCTAGGGATGAGTCCCTCCTGAACAGAGTCCTGGTAGTATAAGGGATTATACTTTAGGCTGCTAACCATAAGACTAGCAGTTCAAAGCCATCAGCTGCTGCTTTGGAGAAAGAGGAGGCTTTTTATACCCGTGAAGAGTTGCAGTTTTGGGAACCCACATCGGGCAGGTCTGTGCTGTCCTATGGGGTCAGTATGAGTCAGAATCAACGCAATGGCAGTGAGCTGAGGTTTGAGTTCTTCCTGCTAACAAGTCCAAAGTACGTGAGACGATCTCTCTCGAGCATCTGGCTGCTTTTCTTC